GAAAGGACAAAAGTCTACTGAGATTTTCCCCATTGGTGGGCAAAGACGGACTATTGAGAGTCGATGGTCGACTCCGACTTGCTGAAGACTTGCCCTATGATACGAGACATCCAATCATTCTTCCAAAAGACCATCCTGTAACAAGACTAATCGTTGTTCACGCTCATGAAAAACTTGGGCACGGCACCGGAACAGAACATCTGTTGACGGAACTTCGATCGACATTTTGGATCGTGAAAGGACGATTGACAGTTAGAACTGTGATTCGAAGCTGCCCTGAGTGCCGACGGCGATTCCTCGCAAAACCTGAAGGACAAAAGATGGCTCCTCTCCCAACTTCGAGATTGACTTTACCTTTAAGAGCCTTCGAAAGGATCGGTACAGATTTCGCTGCACCATTCCTAACCAAACAAGGACGAGGAAAATCTCGAATGAAACGGTATCTTTGTCTCTTTACATGTATAGCGACCCGTGCGGTCCACTTAGAGATGGCTTACTCATTGGACACGGACTCATTCATAAACGCGTTCGTACGAATGACTTTACGGAGGGGGACGCCTATATACGTTCTATCGGATAATGGAACAAATTTTGTCGGAGCAGAAAAGGAGATGTGTCAAAAGATACGCGAATTCGATCAGGAGAAAATAGTAAAGACGACAACTCAACATCGACCAATCGAGTGGAAATTCAACCCGCCTTCCGCCCCTCACTTTGGAGGAGTTTTCGAGAGCATGATTAAGAGTGCGAAGAAGGCCATCAGAGCAATCCTAGGAGAAGCCGAAATTACAGACGAAGAGTTACACACAGCAATTTGTGGCGCAGAAGGACTCCTAAACTCGAGACCGATCACCTATGTCAGCTCAAGTCCTGATGACTTGGTTTCACTTACTCCTAGTCATTTCCTGGTGGGACATTTAGGTGGACAGTTCGCCCCAGAAACCAGTCCAGAAGAAGTATTCAACCCAAAGAAGCGTTGGCGACGTATTCAACAATTGATCACGCAGTTCTGGAAAAGATGGCGTAAAGAGTTCTTACCTAGCCTCAACGTAAGAGGAAAGTGGTTTAATCCTAAGCGAGAGTTAACTGCAGGTGATGTTGTCCTATTAGTCGAGCCGAACGCAAAGCGTGGCGAGTGGCCGCTTGGTCGCATCATAGAAACATATCGAGGCGGTGATGGACTCATAAGAGTGGTAAAGATTCGAGTTGGAGACAACGAGTATATCCGACCTGTACACAGATTGTGCCCGTTAGAGAGAGACAATGATTAAAAGAACAATGAAGAAGAAACTTCATAAACTTTATAACTTTAACTTTAGTTTTCGAATGTAGTCACATTCGGGAGGGGGGATGTTTTGGAATGTTGACATTGTTTAAAATTTAATAAGTCCTACCCCTCCCCCCCAATTAGGATAGGTAAAAAGGACTGGACACGAACGGTCGCGCTGAGAAAAAGAGAGCATGGTCAGGGTTCTTTTGTAATGTTTGTGTTCTAAAAATACAGTGTTTAAAAAGGTTTTTTATTGACTTTAAAACCACGCAAAGAATCCAAAATAGTGAAAAGTAGATCCATTCTTTATTCGACAAGTTCTATACGAGAACATATAGCTTAGAAAATGGACGGGTATTCTGCAATCTCTCCAATAGAGTTACAAAAGCAAAGAAAAGCAAGTGGGAATGGCGAATATAGCTTAATAAAATATGTCAGATGTCATCACCACAAGCCGCAATGTGTCCGGCTCCAGATTTTGGCATCTCAACCAAGCAACTACATATTATGAAATCGCCAATTGTACGCGCAAGACACACTGGGAAGCGCATCTAATAAGAAGAGTATCCGCTGAATGTTTTGTTTAAGGGCGCGGGTCAATGAGGAGTCCGGAAAAAAATTTTGCAACGCCGCCCCCGATTAAGCACTGCATATGAGAGCCAAATTAAATTATTAAAGAGCGCCGTCCTCGAATAATCGCCGCACATATCCTGACAAATTGTTGACGCCCAACCGCGGAAGGAAAGCGCCCTGGGTACGAAGTTGTAATCTTTAACAAACTTCGGTGTTTTTTATGTCATATGTTATTGCTAATATTTCTTATCATCGCTTACATATAAAATATTTTATAAACAGCGCCGCCGTCGATGATCAAGCGCAGCCCTCAAGTCAGGTGTTCAGCAATAGATGCAAGCAATGTGTCTTGCGTGATACCGGCGAAATTTGCAAGCGAAACTTACTACTGAGAAGATCTGATTAAATTAATTCTGTGCCATTGAGTTCCCCTTGTTAAAATGCCAGGACTACAATCTACAATCTTGAGGTATTAGTTAGTGGTGTTTAGACGAATATTTACATGAGAGTCCACAATACAGTTAGATAAAAAGCAAAGATGAAGATTTATCCAAAGGACGGCAACATGCACGCACATATCCAACCTTGAGACTGACATGACGTGGTGTACGTACCCTGTCGCTGACCAACGTACACCCTCCATATACTATTATTGTTGCGACGATGTCCAACCAATCATGCATCTGAAATATTATATTCACAACTTGTTTTGCTCCTTACATTTAAAAAGTTAAGCCTTTTACAATTGACTTCCAGCCTTCGTACAGTCAGTCGAATTAGGTGTTCCACATCTCATTATATAGAGTATAGTTCAGTAACATATTCAAGCAATAAATTATACTGACAAAATTTGCATGCGAAACTGAGATCTATTAATCTTTACCAGTAAAATCTTTACCAGTTAAAATGCTTTTTTCAATTAATCTTTACCAGTTAAAATGCCCTAACTACAATTTAACAACCGTGCTTAGACGGATATTTAGCTAAGAGTTCCCAATACATTTAGGAAAAGAACAAAGATGATGAAGCTTCATAAAACTTAAACCGGCGGCAACATGCACGCACATCCAACCTTGAGATGGACATCACGTTCTACTTGCTGATTCTTTGAATATGCTTTGATTACTTTTATAGTTGCTACGATGTTAATACAATCACCATCAATATGATAATTACAACTTTTTTTGCCCCTCACATTTAAACCATGTCCCGTTCTACACTTGACTTCTTTGAGTGTTGATGGAAAGTACGTACAATTTTGGCAACTGTTGGTCTTGTCCAAACTACTTGTATTTACAACGTTTTCGTCTTTTTTCAGGGATTTCTGTATGCATGAGTTCGCTTTTGTCTCAACCAAGAAATTTTCTCCTCATCGTAACTGAAATATGAGAATTTACTTTTTACACATGATTTGGTAATAAAGTTAATATAAAACAAATGAAACTGGATGAAGTGTACGAACTTTGTGAATGTTTATGATCCTCTAGCTACCAGGGAGCTAGACTTGGATCAAGTCCGTCTCTCTAGAGTTGGAGTCGCGAAGCGACGAGATCGAGCGCGCCGCGAAGCGGCGCGCGAGGTGCAAGAGAGGAGGGAGAGACGGACTTGGCTCACCTGCAATGTTTCGAATCAGATTTATTATTTTGGCGGGAATTATGTTAATAGACAGGTGTTTTTAATTTAGCGGTTTTGTTACAAATACGGAAACCGCAAGTGTCAGGGCAAAATTATTAAAATACCCGTCGCGATCGAAACTAAAATACGCCTTTAATATATAACTATAAGCCTTATATTTAAAGATACACTTTTTATTAAATCGTATCTATAGACTCTTCTAGTTAGTTATTATGACTACATGCACAAAATTTGTCCTGAACAAAATATCCCTGACTGCATCAAAATTTCGTGTGATCATGAAGTTTGCCGTGACACTTAATATAAGTAAAAAAAATAATAGTGTGACACTAGTTGTGCAGTTTTACATAGTATAGTCATATCAATAGGTCGGACAATAACCTTCTTAAAACGTATTCATCATTTAAGTATAAACTAAACCGGACACGAAGAGACAGCATGCTATACATTTTGAAACAAGATACTTTGTTATTTCCGCTCTATTGCAATTAGCATAAATTATTGCAATCTAGTTATGACGCGTTACCGACGGAAAAACGGGTCGGTAAATTTGGCGCGCTTGCAGGTGAGCCAAGTCCGTCTTCTCCCTCAAACTTTCCCGCGTTATTGCACCTCGCGCTCTCCCTCGGACTCTAGAGAGACGGACTTGATCCGAGTCTACCAGGGAGCAAGCAAGCAAGCAAGCAGGCAAGCAAGCAAGCAGGTAAGCAAGCAAGCAAGCAAGCAAGTTCTACATGGCGTAGCTAAATCGAAAACTCTCTAATACCATGCACCTTGTAGTGCGCCTGACTTTACGGGCATGCACGATAATGGTTTGTACTTACTTCAGGAATTTCCTTAGATTTGAACTGCCATGTTCCATACGAGCAACTGATTTGTTAACATGAATCATGATAAACAGGATGGCGGTTAGAACAATAATATTTGTTGAGAAACTCTAGGAAAAATATGTAAAATTGTCTCAGTTATTTCCTAATTCATTCACATTACCTAACTAGACTCTTAGACATGGGTGTAGAAGAGAGAGGCTTATCTAGGGGAGGCTGACTTTCCAATATTTAGCATATTATATCATAACCTTAATTGATGGTCTTTGCAACTCTAGTGTAAAAATTATGCAGTAATGATTTTAATAATCTGTAGTTGATGACTAGGGTCATTAGAGCATTAGTGGCCCCAGGATCAACATGAAAAATGCCAGTATATGAAATCTTTTGTTTCAAATTAAGTTATTTCTTGAAAACAACATAATCGAAGAACTTGCAAGAACCAAAATCACATGCTGCAACTTTCCATGTGTACATGTTGCACCTTCCACGCCTTTGTACCCCCGCATTTTGCCACTCCACCCTACCCCACCTCTTTGGTGAACCTACAATCGCATGCAAAAATTATTGAGACGGCAAATAAAGTCATTGCCCTCCCCCCATAAACAATGTTGGACAGACGATACAAAGTTATATTGTCAGGTTAAATTTTTTCTCAAAAATTGTATACGGGGGAAGGAGAGATGTATAATTACGGAAATAGAACGAAATATCAAAAGTCTCATTATTTTTTGCACGAGATTGTAGTAAGCTTTAGCTTGTTATCATTTCAGTCCCACAACATTGCTCCTAGAATATACTCTACAAAGAACTACATTTTATGAGTTTAGTGAGTGTTTGCTATTCTGCCTATTCATCCTTGAAACTTGAAGCTGAAATCTAAGCTGAATTTCGAAAGACGCAACTGAAACTTGCTCGAGTCGAAGGCGGTTTTTCGAGGGTGCCCTGGCAGCCACCTCGTGACTCATTTCTGCTCATGAAGAACGACGGATACAGTGAAAGATAAGTTTCCGGTTATCCCACCCCCTCCCTGTCAACTTTCTCTGTGAGACATGAGTATCAGAATTAGATAACCCACGACTGCCGATTCGGTAGAACGGTAGACTCTTCACATAAAATGTCATGAGTCAGCAGCGAGCATCGAAGATGTTTTAAGTATAAGCTGAGTTTAAGATTTTTTTAAAAATAGTATTATGTTACGGCGTATGAACAGCTTCTGCAGCAAAAACTTCCTATCAGTTCAATGATTAAAATTAGTTAAAACTAGTATCAATGTTCGTACAATCGTAAAGACAACAGAAAGCGGAAATTTATATGACGTGAACAGATATAATAACGTCCTCCGCAAGTCGCCTACTTTGTCTGGGATAAGTTCGCATCACGAGGGGAAACGAAACACTAGTAATTATGAATAACTTTCTTACAGGGGGAGAGAAAGACGAAATAAAGAGAAGGTCCTCTGTGATATATTATCGAACTGTTTGGACAACACGTGTTACCCATTTAGACCAGCCGAACGTTAGTACCCTTGACTGAAGACAGGAATTTCCGATTTCCGGTGGCGGATGTGCAACTTACTCGTAGTCTCATATCATTAACCATACAGGCGGGAAAATGAAGGAAGGGGAGGGGTGGGTGGGGGTGTGGGATTTTGCTCGACGTTGATAGACATTGCCAGTTTATTTATAGATGAATAGAAGGGGTGTATCTTCTGTTCAGATGCGCGGAAATGCAGAGGTAGGTAGTCAATCGTAAGAGATAGATAAAAATATATGGAACTATATTTACGAGTATTTCGATCTGGTCGTGGGATTTCATTCTCTAAGCTACGTCGAAAACTCCTCACTCTACTGCATGACATTCAAATGTAATGAAACCAATTTCAATCTGGCATTCAGTCTCTCTGGCAAAATACATTATACCGAAGCGGGCAGGCCTAGCAGATTGCGCGATCTTTAAGTTGAATCTGGCCGTCTGGGGGTGTGTCTCATATTGATAACAAAACTTATTCTTCCTTTTGCTCTTCCTATATAGGCGCAGCCAGCGCAGGTGACTTATGGTTTTTTTTCTGTGGTATATACCGTTCATCGTATTTGTTCCCCGCGACTGAGCATTTTCTCGCTCGAGCGCTATCGAAATTATGTTACTTGTAACTTAGGAATGTGTATGGGAAATACCACCATAGATTTACCAGCTGAACAATCTGAATTCGACAATCATGCAACAATATTCTCGTTATTTCTTAAAGATAATCATTTCACTTTCAACTACAGCAAATACTCATGCTAGAACTACCTCCCAAAGGACAAAGACCAAAGTGAGTTGTTTGCCGCGAAGAAGGATATCATTGACATTACAACAAGTAGTCTGTTATATATTTTATCATATATGCCACCAATATAGATCAAGTATCAATCACTGATTCGAAGTTACAATTAAGTATTGGCTATTGGACTACTGATTAAAAAGAACCAGATGTAGCAAATTACTATGTTGTATTGAACTATAATTTGAACAACCATTATATCATGTAGTAGTGCATATTTTAAATCTATATAACCTTACCTTTAGATACATGATGATAAAACCACTTGGAAAACCTCTGTGCAAAGACCTGACATATACTGTATCACCGGAAAAACTCTGTTGACTATATACTTACACTTGTGCCTACGATAGCACAGAAGAGATAAGGGTGACGATAGTTCCAAACCTCTTTGCTTAAATATGTTATTCAACTGATTCTATAAATAACTCTTGCATTGCATTCTAATTTTTCTTTTAAGTTAATTAATGCGTGAGCGGTATAGTGTAATACTCGAAGCATAACGAAATAATAACCCGCCGACGATTATCGACTTGTTAATTTTAATTCAAGCGACTTGATCGCTATTAAAAATGAGTGGTAACAATTTCATTATATACAGAGGCGTAGCCAGGATTTTCGGTCAGAGGGGGCCGGCAAAAACCCAGGTGGGGCCAAGCCGCCAGTGACTCGAGACGCAAAGTTCGCGCAAGAAAAAATTTTGCGGACCACAGAACATTTTAAATCTTCCCCTCCCCCCCCCCCGTCGACATCTTTTTCACTAAAAAAATTTTCAGGACAATAACATTACAATTGCAGAATTGCTTTCGTAGCACTTTTCCCGATTTCCGTATCACTTTTTCCTATGCTTCACCACGAAGATTCCGACTAACATTCCGACTAACATTCGAGAGTTTGAGCAAGTTCGTCCAATTCAGTATGCGCAAGATAATGTGCAGACGGCAAAAATTGGCAAGTACGCCTTCGTCTTCGTACTTCGTTGTCTTGCTCAAACTCTGTATCGACAATTTTTCGACGGGTCTCTCCCCCCCCACCACTCCCCTCCGGCCACGGCGCACTGCCGAGCCCGCATTAAAAATTCACTTGTAAAAAAAAACCAGATTGGTTTAAACTTCATCTAACCCTCATTTAATACATATTGAAATAATTAGGGTTAGAAAAGGTATGTGTTTCAAGCTGTGTGCCGCAAATAAGCGAACAAGTGATTTTAGGTTTCACACCGATGCCCAGCAAAGTATATATTCTACAGAATTTTTGCATTATTGACAGTATGAAGCTATATAATCAAGGATTTCCTTTTTTATACAATACATTTTATCAGGGGCCCCCAAAAATGTTGCCAGGGGGGGGGGATTTTGCCAGGGGGGGCGGCCCCAATAGGCCGCGTAACAATTGCCGAGTAACAATAATTTTCCATCATGTTTCGCTCGCTACTCTGGTTTAAATAAATGATTACAAAGCCCAGTCGAATTGTAATCAAGATCCAACTCGAATTGTAATCAAGATCGAATTGTAATCAACCAAGATTGTGTCCTTTGTGAATTCTCCTACATATGGAGTTTCAAGTTTTTTGGCGAAAATTTTGTGGTGGGAAATACCGAAAACACTGTCAAAAATTCCTATCATTTTGCAGAATTTGTAAGAGGTAAAACTCTTAAAGCAGATCAAGTGTTGGTATCATTTGATGTCGTTTAATTCCTTGTTTACAAATATCCCAGTTGATCTTGCCATCAAGGTTGCGGCAAAAAGACTAAGACAGGATGCCACTTTGTTACAAAGAACATCCTTGCCTGTAGAAGATATTATCGATCTTCTGTCTTTTTGTCTCAACGCCACATACTTTGTGTTTGAGGGCTGTTATTATCGACAGGTTTTTGGAACAGCGATGGGGACACCAGTTTCGGCAGTAATTGCTAATTTAGTAATGGAAGATGTCGAACAAAGAGCTTTAGCCTCTGTTCCGGTGTCCCTATCGTTTTGGAAACGTTTCGTCGATGATGTCATCTCTGCGGTTTCTACAAATGAGATCGATATTCTGCTGCAACATTTAAATTCTATTGAGCCGTCCATCCAATTCACGGTAGAACGTGAGATAAATGGACATTTAGCTTTTTTAGATTTGAATGTGCACAGAACTGTCGAAGGGAAGTTAGAGACTGATGTTTATCGCAAACCCACACACACAGACAAATACTTGTCATACGACTCTCATCACCCAGTAAGCCATAAAAGATCCGTAGCAAAAACTTTGCTTCAAAGAGCTGAATCGTTGCCGTCAAACAGTGATTCTCAAGCTAATGAACGTGAATATGTTCTAAATGTTTTAGGGGAAAACAATTACCCAAAGCGTTTTCTTAATAATTGCCTGAGACCACCTGTTTGTAGGAACCAAAATAACTCCGAGGGTGATACCTCTGTTAAGGGTTTTGCAATAGTTCCATACATTCAAGGTGTCACAGAACCAATCAAGAGAATCTTAAGTAATTGTAAAATTAAGGTTGCCTTAAAACCCTATTTGACTTTAGGCCATATTTTCGCAAAACCAAAAGATCCTGTTGAAACAAATCAGAAGGCTCATGCTATATATTCTATACCATGCGGTGACTGCGACAAAGAGTATTTGGGTCAGTCTAAACGCCAGTTTGGTACACGGCTAAAAAAACATCAAAAGGCTGTTTCAATTTTAGACAAGGGAAAATCAGCTTTAGCCGAACATGTATGTTACACCAAACACGAGATTGCGTGG